TGTGAGAGGTACTATTCAATTCAAAAACGACATCGGAACCACTTTAGCGATGGAGCAGAAAAATATGTTCCACGGTCTTGAGGAAAGGAGGCCTTCTGTAGTATACAAAGTAAAGCTGAAATATGTTCCTGAGCTCTCGTAAAAGTTTGGGATGAAGGCACAAGGCAAGGCTTGCAATGATTAGTCCAATAGTGAGTGTCTTCGATGTTAACCAAAGATAGAACAAAGGCAAGGACACAGCAAACGCAAGGATTGTCAACGTGCCTTTTACACTTAGCATCCATATTGGAGCAACCTGTCTGTTGTCTACCTATCTATCTATCTACCTATCTATAAATGCATGTACTTTGCGTTCTTGTTCGTGGTGGTGAGTGGTGGGCAATCCGCTCCATCGGCTCCAACGGCCCCATGGGGCCGATCGGCTCCACGTCCATTTTGTGGCTAGCTTTTATTGTTGTGTGCTCAAGTGTAGTCATGGCAGGACTGCAAAATAGACTCCAAGTGTCAAACCTACAGCAAAAAAATACATGAATTAAATTCTGATCTACAGGTAATTAGGAAAGCTGCCCCTCTAGTCCAAGCTAAAGCAAGGAGAACTCAGGTAGCTGAGGCTAACCCCAGACCCTCAGACCAAAGCGCTTCGCTTCGCAGCTTCGCCTTCATGTCTCGCTGGACCTGCGGCGGGGTTCACCGGTGTCACCAAGAACTCGAACGAGGAATCTGAAAGGCTTAGCCGCGGATTGCAAATTTTGAAGCAAATCTGGTCAGAAACAGGACTCTTCTCATCAAGCTATTGTGCCTGCTGGTCGTGCAAGCGGAAACACAGGTTGCGAATCCACACTACCTGGTGCACACTGCGAAAAAGACACCTACGCAAAAAGACCACCTTAAGTTTCCCTAGCAACCAAGGCCCTTTGCAACTCACAGCAACGGCGTCTCAGGCCTGAACTCAAGAAAGCAGCGCGAGGATGGATGCCTGGATGGCGTTAAGAAGCGTCACAAAGAGGGACACTCTAGCAAAACAACTTTCCTTGCAATTGCTTGATTACCCATCCTCCGGTCTGTTAGTCAGCACAACCCACTGCCTGCCCTCAAATTCACCTCCTCTACATCACTTGCATCCGATTGAAAAAGGCACAAAGATCACAAAGCAAGATTCCCGCCACTTGCCTATCGGTGGTCTTTGTGGAGGACCTGGCTCTGCACTTGAACTCATATGGCTCATATGCACTGTCTTCCGTTTTCGGACCTAGCTCTCCACAAAAGCTAGACCTGTGAGGGACACTAGACACTAGTAGTTGTTGCTCCTGACATCAATCTGATCACATCTGAAAGTCTTCCACACAACAAGCTACACCATACACTCACAATACCGCATCCATGCGTATCCCAATACACATTCCGAAAGCAATTTCACTTCCTGTAGAAACTTGCAACTGACAGCACTGCTGCACTGGCATCTCAGGCCTGAACTCAAGAAAGCAGCGCGAGGATGGA